TTACTGCAATGCATACTAACAAGAAAAAGACAGACCCAGAGATGGATAAAGAGAGAGCAATGATCTGTGGCAACCACCTGCTAAAATCTGTATGTTTTGGGGCATTTTCTTGTTCTTACCCTCCTGTGCACCAATTCTCACATTTAATTCATCACAGCAAGTGAAATGAATACAGATTCCTAACTGGACTGATTGATATCCCTTTGATGATTAAGTATAATTTATATTTTTAAACACCGATTAGTTCAAGAAAATATCTTTAAAGTCAAATGTCAGCGTTATATTGTAAATTCTCATATGTAACGCATGGATACATTTCCATGATAGCCAAGGACGCAGCCAACACAAAGCCTTTATAGATGCTGACTGAAAATGCCAATTCAAATAGCACATTAGATATAATGTTGGTTTCCACAGCTCCAGTTTAATCAGGACAAAACATGCTATACTCATCTTTGTCTCTGCCCTAAGGTTGTTGTTTTTTTTTTCAGATCAATTTAAATCAGTACTTGACTTCTTACTCCAATGGCAAAAACAAGACAGTTAAATGTGAAAAGTTAAAGTTCTGGAGGAAGTGTTGAGTCTCATTCAGTGTAGCTTGATAGTCTTTTAGAGAAAAAGTAATGTAACTGATAAGACATGCTGTAATACAAGCCTGTCCAGACACGACAGTTCACTCTGCCACTGAGGAAATTACTCTGAAAAAAATTTAACAACTTGTGAATTCACTGTATTAAGTTATATCAAGACTGGCAATATGCTAAGGAGAAAATTACAGACTATATAAGCTTATAGACATTCAGTATTTCAACTTTAAATGATTTTCAGCATTATTTTCCATATCTATTCTCACTTAGAAATCTGACTGTTCTCACAGTGCATTAGACCAGTTGATTAGGCCCAAAATATATTTACAGGCAAGAATAAATAATATTTTTAGGTTGACCATGTGCTCACGGGAAGCTGCAACTTCTGAAAGTAGCAAGTCACCCATTTGAATTCTTGAAGTCCAGTAGATTGGCAATGTATAGAACTCCATGTGAATTATCTATTGATTTTTTTTTTCTTATATTAATGTGTGCTTTAGCTGCATCTGGTATTATTTGAGGAAGAAAAAAACAAAAATGTTGCAAAAAAATCCTTTGGTTGAAAGGAAATCCATTTGACGGTCAGTATAAATATAGTGAATACTGATCTGTGGATAAAGGTCGCAATTTTGATTTCAAAAGAAAGAGAAGCTGACATTAACAGAAATGATTCACAGACATCTGAAAATTATTTCAAGTGCGGGCAGTGGTTTAGTCTGAGCTGTAGCAGCAGTTTGCTATTTTATTAATTGCCAAAGTTAAAAGGCCACACGATGATGAGCAGCAGCTATTCCAGCCTGGTACTGCATGAGAATGTGATCTGCAGGTTGTGGAGAAAGTCATATTCTGAAATTGTGTTGACAGAGACACAATAAAAACAAAATGCCAATAATCCAATTCAGGCTTCTTCTAATTTATTTAAATAGTCTCCAGGCTTCTTGAAGGGCATCCAAAGCTCTTCGTTGGATGTTGGATACATTTTGTTGTGTTTTCTGTCAACCTGATCCCACACTGCTTCAAAAATGTTGAGGTCTCAGGGGAGGCCAATCTATGACTAATAGTGTTCACTGAGAGTTTTTCTGTCCAGGTATGCTTTTATGGTATTGGCAATAAAAACATACCTGGATCATTTTCAAAAGCATTTGGGCTCATTTTCATGCTGAACAATGAAGCTAGCTTTCCAAATGTTATTGCATGGTGGATCAAAAGCTGATGTTACTTTTCCACATTCATAATCCCTTTCATTTTGACAAGATCCTCAACACCACTGACTGAAATGCAGTCACAAACCATGACAGAGCCTCCACCATGCTTTACAGATGGCTGTAGACACTCACTGTTGACCTCCCCTGACCTCCTTCCTGCATACCAAAAACAATCTGAACCAATAATTTCAAATTTGTATTCAACCTATAAGACCTGTTACCACTGACTTTCACTCTAATTCTTTTTTAATTTCGTATACTTCAGCCTTTTCTCCCTGTTTCCCTTCTTCAAGAATGGCTTCTTAAAAGCCACAGGTGCTCTGAGACCATTTCTGATGAGGCTTTGGTGAACAGTAGATGGCTCAATTAAAAGGCTAGATGCATGTCTCAAGTCCTGTGTTAGATTCTTTGATGGATTTTTCCAGTTTCTTCATGAAATAAATTTAATGTACTGTTCATTTGCTCTTTGGCAGTCTCCTCGTTTGTGCAATAATATTCTTTTACACATGTCAAACTGTGTTATTATTTCTAAAATCAAAGAAACAAAAAGAAACTGAAACAAATTGTGTTTTAGCAGTAACAAAGGGCGTAAAGATATAATTAAAAATTGGCTCATGCGAACCCAGCCCAATTTTTACTCTTTAAGTGTGCGCGTGTGTGTGTGTGTGTGGGGGGGGGATATATGTGTGTATTCACATCATTTATGTTAATGAGAGCGTGGGGAGTGAGTTGGAGGGTGGGGTGGGCTGCTTTTAACTATGTAAAGCACTTTGTGCTACATTTTTT